TTTCACAATGTAATAGGTTCTTGTCACCATACTAATGAAATCAGAGCTCTTCTCCCCACATCCTGGGAAAGTTGGGATATCTTTTCCTCTTTTTTATTACAACAGTAAAAGAAAGTTGGAAAGAAGCCTTAAAAGGGCCATGGAAAAAAACTACAAGGTAAAAATGCACTTGTTCTTCAATACACAAAGAAGTGCCTCCTTATTCTTATGTCACTACTCTTATGTGGCATCTGTATAGTTCATGTTATCCGCAGTCACATTTCAATCAACATGGTGAGTTTAGTTAAAATGAGACCAGATATTGCAACTTCTGGCTATACCAATCTACAGAGCAATATCTGAGAAAAGTGATGATTGATCTATTAAACATGCCTTTTTCCTGGGGAATTACCAGGACTGGTTGTCACTATCAAAGGCCCATCTTTCAATTCTCCATTTTAAGAAGGACTATTCCAATTGTTATTATCTATTTTTTCTTTCAAATATAAGTAGCTTGATATAGGTATTTTTACTTAAAATAAATAAAATACACAAAAAACCCTGCAAGAAAGGGCATTTCAAGATGGCCTTATACAGGTATACAATATGTAAATACATGTCTTCGTTATCTCATAAAAGAACTCTAGTATTTGGATTCTAGGGCTTGACCTATCTTCAATTCTGTTTAAATGCTTTAAGCCAAAAGCTATGACCGAAACAAATTTAAGAAAACCTAATTAGAGGGCCAGGAGAAATCAGCACGATTATCAGAGTAAGGATTGAGAGAGATCGTGATACAGCCAGTCTTCTTCCTAGGACTGGACTCCAGCATCTCAAGTTTCTGTTGATGTCATATGACAAACTGTGTCACACTGAGGCAAATCTCCTAAAACAACAGGATGGTTTATGCTGTCTGCTTAGTATTTCCATTGACTTAATTTCTTATATATTTTGCCTTTCTAGCTTTGATTCACCTTTCCCTTCATAGCAGCATCTTGGATATGTTTATTTCCTTGTGCTTTCCAAATGTTTTTCAGATATGTTTTCTCATTTGATAACAACAACTCTCCTTCTAACTATCTTCATTTCACAAGCAAGTAAACAGGTGAATTAGTGATAAATCCAGGCCTGGTGTTTTGTTTAATCTCTTTCCCACGCAATCACATGTCCTCTTCACCGCATCACCACATGACAGTTAGCTCCTGCCCCTGCCCTTGCCCCTTTCCTAATGCAGTTTTCTTTTTATTGCCAGTTTGTTGTATATCTGTTTATAGAAGAATCTGTTCCTTCTATAAATGAATAATTACAAAAGATCAGACAGTTTACAGGTAAAAACATAGCCTCGAGTAAGACATTCAGGGATAAAATGTAAAAGTCACTATCTTGAAGTAATAGTCATTCCACTACCACTCACAATGAGCATTTATTTGCCTTTTCCCTTTCAGCTTCTGCCAGCCAAGATTAAGTCTGAATGTAGTAGTTTTGAGGGGTGGGGGAGTCTGCTGGCTTCTTATTCTGGATTCATCACTGGTCAATGATGGAAGAGTTACTTAATCTACCCATGCATCATATTCCCTGTCTTTAAAATGGAGATGATGATAGCAATAGCATGGACCTCACTGTCTCATTGAGACAATTATGTTAGATAATGAATCTAAAGCGCATAGCATAGTCCCTGTATAGTGTAAGCACTAAATAATGGTTATTGCTTTTGTTGCAAAGCACCCTGGAGTGTGGTCGCATTAACTTTATTCTATAAAAGGTTTTGACTTTGTCCATTATAATAGTCAATTCTTAAGTTCTTAGTAAAGAAATCTCAGTATGAGTGTATGTAGTTTTTTAGTTCTCTGTCTACCTCAGGTAATGTTCAAAAATCAATATTTATTGGATAACTTCTATAGATTCTTATGGCTCACTCTAGTGGTTCTCAATTGGGGATAATGCTGTGCTCCCGAGAGAGATAGTTGGCAATATCTGGGGGTGTTTCATCATCACCACTGGGAAGTGCTCCTGGCATCTAGTGAATTAGGACCAGTGATACCCCTAAACATCCTAGTAGCACAGCACAGCCCCCACAACAAAGAATTAGCTAGTGCCAAATGTTAATAGTGCTTTATTGTTGAGAAACCTTGCTCTACTGAAAAAAGGGAGAAGCGTAAGATGTTACCATCACTCACGCAGAGAAGTTAGAAAGTGTCTACCAAATATGTGTCTATTCAAATGTGTTTATAATGATACCTGTTAAAATCAAGATGCAATTTTGGTTGGTTCATTTTGTATATGGATATAACTGCATGTTTAGACAAATCACAGTGGCCTTGGAAAATATTCCTTAAAGCCCTCTGGTTTACAAGTAATCTTAAAATAGGTTGGTCATGAAAAAACTTAAAATAAAAATTAGATTTTATAGTTCAAAAAATTCTTTCCAATTGCCTGTCATATTATTTATTTAAGCTATTTGTGGAGGGCTACACATTGTATTGTTGTTTGAATGAAAAGTACATAGTGGGAATGCTGGTTTAAGTAATACAAGTCAATATTGATATTATTTGTTATTTCAAGTGGATACAATCAAATGGTATTTATTGATTGGCAAATTTTCTTTTTTTAATGCATATTGAAATATCCCATTTTCAGAATCATTTGAATTAACTGATATTTATTTGCAGATGACAAATATCAATGGTCAAGCAATTGTTTGTTCTTATTGTTTTCTTGCATCAGATAAAATCATTCCCTTTTTACCTCCCGAACACTTTCCTTTGGCGATCTTGAACGTGTGCACCAAGATGGCATTTTTGTCTTGGACTTTTCTGATAAATTTTTGGTAAAGATAGTAGTGTCTGTGAGAGCACATGTGCGTGTGTGTGTGTGTGTGTGTGTGTGTGTGTTTAGGTTTCCACTTAAAGTTCAGTGCCAAAGCTACAGTACTTATACATTTTCTAAATGTGTTTTAAGCAATAAGTTGTACAACATTTTTAGAACATGTGTTAAGCTATTTCTCTAAGAATGAAGCTCTTAACAAAACATAAGCACTCTGCATGAGATCTTAGCAGCAAAGTGCTTAAAAGATAAAGTAAGAATTGGTACCATGGGAAGAACACCAGCTGTAGAGCGCACAGGTCCATTATGAGAAGTATGGTAGTGGGTAGGGAGAAAATGATTTAATCAGGAGTAAAACCAATTTTATTATAAGGGCACGCAGGGGGTGTGGCACCATAGTGAGAGGGACATTTCAAAATATCTGACAGATTTCAACAATGTGAAAACCCCGTTCTTTAAAGTGACAGTAAACCCCATCAGGTCTCCCTTTTTGATGCTATTGTTAACAGTTGACTGTTTAAAGCTGGCCTGCTAAGATGCTGTCGGTCTATTTCAATAGTATGTAGCCAAATAAAAGACTAATTGTTGAAATACAATCAATCAAAAATGATTGCAGGGCAGAAAGAAGGTCTCCTCCGCTGATTTTGTTGTGGATCATATTATTGTGTTATGACTGAGGTAAGAATGAAGACGGAAAGGAAAGGAGAAAATAGCCCATCTGAAATAAACAGATCCACCTTCTTTCCTTCTCTTTGCAAACATCCTATTGAACAGGAACGTCACTTACCAGCCCTGGAGATAATAGTCCATTTAGAAAAAGAGATCTGATAAAGATTTCGGCTAAGATTTTAAAAGGACATGAACACTATTAGCAAAGTAGCCCATGCAGAGATTCCCTACAGTGACAATTCTCAGCTTTTCTTACATTTTGGGGGGCAGATTCTCCTCTGCTTCATAAAACTGACTCCAAGGGGGCATGGTGGATGCGAACCCAAGACATCAGTAAAAAAACAAAATTCCAGTTGACCAAATAGCTGTTAAGTTCTGGCCAGGAGACCAGGCTTTTCAGTTCACCGCCGCTCCCCCTTGCCCCCAGGTGGTTTAAAATGATTAGCTTTATTTTTTTATTCAGCCCAGATTCCAAAATCCTTTTCATGTTGCACGTTTACAAGGACAAATGCTATGGATCCGCAGCAATGCTTTCCTGCCTTGCTTCCTTTTAGTTGTATGTAAAGATGTTGCTTTCAGACCCTGCTACATCCGCTTCTTGGGTGAGAAGGATTCCAGACTTCCCTTCTGAGGGTGAACAAGAAGAAAGTCATTGTCCAGCGTCTCTTCGTTTCTCCTAAAAACTTCACTTTGGCATTCATGGTCTTTAATATTTAAATGTCTCAGCTCACTCAGGCTTCCCAAGCAAACATGTCTGTTGTTTCTAGGCGGAGTTGGTAAGCACTTGTGGTTTGTCTTTAGTGTGTTATCATTTTTGACAGCTTTGCATAGCCTCTGTAGGCCAACAGGGGTCTGTCTAATATTGTTGCTGGGCACATTTTCCTCGCTGAGATGGAAACTAAAAAAAAAAAAAAAAAAAAAAAAAAAGATATTTTTGAAGCAGTAAGAAGGAATTAATATCCTTTTTCACTCAGTATTCTATTCCTTGCTGACTTTATATTCAGCAAAAAAAAAGCAAAAAAAAAAGTGTTACCCATTATTCCCTTGTACATAGCAAGGCTAACACATGTAAAGCAATAACTCATTTTCTATTGCCATGTTTAGCATATGTCTCCTGTTGGCTCAGCAAGGCCTTTAGGCCGGTCCCTTGAGCCGGCCATCATTGGCAACTCTTAGCCCCTCGGCCTCAAAACCAAATAGCTTTGAATCATGTTGAGCTGTGATGCTAATTTTCATACTGATGCATTATGGGAATAAATGTATCTGACATACTGTGTCAATGGCACTGTCTCTTTGTGTCTCTTGTTTTTTTGTTAGCTGCATTCCTACAGATGGTATTCCATTGAAAGTGTTCCCTTCCTACGGAAAAAGGGGAAAAAAAAAAAAAAAACATGCACAGCACCAAACCTCTAGGTGCAGAAGGCTGTTAACGGTTGCTGATGATAGTAGGCAAACATTAACATAATAATTAGTGTCTTGTAATTGTTTCATTAAAACCAGTTGTTCCATTTCTCCTCGTGTTTTCCCAGAAGAGAAGCTGAATTTGGACGACAGCCAGTGGGAGGACATCCACGTTGTCACCGGAGCACTGAAGATGTTTTTCCGGGAGCTGCCTGAACCGCTCTTCCCTTACAGCTTCTTTGAGCGGTTTGTGGAGGCGATCAGTAAGTAACCTCACAGCCAGGAGGCCTTGGTGCACTAACCTGGCAGCCTGGGATTATTAAGCAAACAATAAGGACGACAGTGATAGTCATCATGGAGATGATGATAGCCCCAGCACTCCACGTGTTTCATTGCAGTTGTGTGTTTTGGATGGCTTATTTTTATTCCTGGCCCTGCACTATTATCTGAGCTTGGTTTTGGTTTTTGGTTTGGGGTGGGTTTTTGTTGTTGTTGTTGTTGTTGTTTGTTAAAAAAAAAAAAAAAAAAAAAAAAAAAGGATGGGTAACCTAGTTAGAGCGGCCAGTGGTTGAATTAAACCTCCTCAAGTGAAAATAGCTCCTGGTGGCATCTGTTTCAAAGGGATCACCTTTGGGATTCTCAGCACCTGCCTTTAGGGCTTCGGAATTGGCAGTGGGTTTGAGTACAGAAGGGTCCTGAAAACGAACTTAGGGGACTTTCATGACATTTCGTTAAAGAGGTGTTAAATCATCAACTAAGGCATCATGTTCTCGAGGCTCCCTCAGCCTTCAACCACCAACACTAGTAAATAGCTACAATTTGTTTATGAACAGGGTAATATTAAATTAAGTAATGGCAGGTTTTCTTCTGGCAAACTGGTGACTTTGTAGGAGGTTGGATTGCATCACATACTAACCAGTCGTCACTGTACACTCACTCCGTGAAGCTTCCTTTTCTATTGCTTTTGCATTCAGAGCACACACGCTTAAGTTAAACATGAGTAAATGAATGAGTGAATGAATGAATAAAAATCTTTCCAAATACAAGGAAACTTTGGCTATTGATGCTTCGAGAAGCACCTACTAGTACACCTAAATTTAGTATCTTGGGGTACACTTACTATAATTGTGACAGCTTGGGAAAAGTTTCCTGGCAAGCAAGCTGATTCAAGGAGGGAAAAGAAAGAAAGAAGAAAGAAAGGTAAAATTAAAAAGCTTGCAAGCCTGGCAGGAGCTTAATTAAAGTCCAAATGAGAAAAATCTCCAAGAAAAAAAAATGCTCTGCTTAGGGTGTCTGATACCGGATGGCTGTGTGTGCAGTGTTCCCATTAGTGGGAGTGGGGATTTGGGGGGCCTGTATGCCCTTTTATTCCATTTCCCATTTCACGTTCTTCATGCTTGTTTACAGTTCTGGCCACCAAATGATATCAAGAGGAATAAAGCACAGTTTATCTTCCCAGGGTCTCTCTCTTGTTGTCTGCTCACAATTTCAGATTTTCTTGTTGTCATTGTTGCTCTTGCTGAAGATAGTAGCAGGTGCTCTAATGATGGGTTTTGAGGTGAGGCTGGGGCTCTTATCTCCTGTCATGACTTTTTATTTCAAGAGCTTTCTGCTTCTCAAGGAGAACAGTATTTTATGGTCCCCAGGCTCAACTTTTTAAAAGGAGGAATAGGGCAGCCCAGGTGGCTTAGCGATTTTGCGCCGCCTTCAGTCCAGGGTGTGATTCTGGAGACCCGGGATGGAGTCCCATGTCGGGCTCCCTGCATGGAGCCTGCTTCTCTCTCTGCCTGTGTCTCTGCCTCTCTCTCAATCTGTGTGTCTCATGAATAAATAAATAAAATCTATAAATAAATAAATAAATAAACAAACAAATAAATAAATAAATAAAAATAAGCCTGCATTTCCAGAACAGCAGAGTTCAATATTCTGTCTTGGAACACGACGAACATGAAAGATCAGTGGCAATGCTAGTGCACTGTTCTGGTGGGGAGTTGGGGACCATGCATTTTGGTACCTATTTCTGATTAAATGTATTTAAAAGAGTCCTACAAATTTCACATCACAGCCTCTAGGTGTTTAAGTGAGCATCACGTTTTTGTAAGCATACTTGTACATGTGCTGATTTGAGAGCCGTGATATAGGCACCCATCGTTTTAGCTCCCTGTGGTTTACCTGATTCTAAAGCTATAAAGCAAGCCATTACCTTAGCTTAACACATAGGGGAAGCAGGCCCTCAGAACCCATGTGAGGACCTGTCCTTTGACTCTCTACAAAGAGTAGGACCATCTCTGTATGATCCTAGACTCCATCTCCACTTAACAGAAGGTTAAAAACAACAACAAAAAAAAAAAAAAAAAAAAACAGAATGTTAGAGACATTGGCATAGTCACAATGGAAAAAGCAGAATTGAAGTGGCAACGTGCTATTGTTATTAATGGCTATTGGGAGAGTTTTTGCCAACACCTATAAAATGGATTATGGCAAGAACGAAAGAGAGTGTTTAAGAAAGTCCTCTGAAAATGTAAGCTACAGTGCAGATGCTCACAGTGTTTCTTCAGTGGAGCTGTGTTCTGAGAATGTAATATAAGAACAAGGAGGCAGTTTTTCCTTCATTGCTTAAGACAAGGAGAATCAACCTGAACAACCTTGCCTTTACCTAACTCAAAATAGCACTTAATTATTTCTTACTCTGTAAGATAGAAGGACTAACCGACAGGGTTGTAGGGCGGGGAGATATGTTACAATGTCGGGCAGAGACCTATGTTTACTAACACGTGTGTTTTTGGAAGAATCTTGAAGTTAGGTGGTAGTTCATATTTAAATATCTTTAAGCAATGGGAGAACAGCCACCTACTTTTCGGCAATGGCAAAACTACACCAGAGTAGGTATTTTTACCCCATGGTGCATCAGTCAAGTACAAAATCTTCCAAAATGATAAATACATTTATATCCAGCCGCAAAGGGGTGATGGGTTTTATCACAGCTCTCACTGCCTCCTGAGAAATCCACATAGCGAGAAGCTCAATAGACCTGCCCATGAGGTCTTGGCTTTCTTACAAAAAGGAACCAAGCAGGTAAAGGAAAGTCATGGAGAAGGTGTCCTTATATGCTGGCTCTGGGCCTCTTGGCCATCAGATCTTTGCCCCCTCACTCTTTGCTCTATAACGGAAGAGGGTTGACCTAGCCAGCTGCATTTCACAGGTGCTCTTGAAGTCTGGCTTCCTGCTGCTGGAGCCAGTGGAGGCCCCGGCATTAGGGAGCAGAGATAGAGGGAAGGAAAAGGTTAGCTAGTCCATTGGTTTTGTCCTCCACCCCCTCTCCCTTGCCCACCCACCTGCCTCAAGTAGTTTCTCTACCCAAGGATCCATCTTTTCCATAGCTTCAGCTTTGACTGGAGAGGCCCAGTCCAGCTCCTGCTGCCATCCAGGGATGCGGACCCTCATCTCTTTGCCTGCCCAGCCTGGTAGGAGCTTCCTGCAGAGGCTGGTTTCTCAGTTACTTCCCTCTTCCTTACTTGGCTCTCAGCTTCTTCATCACATGGGTAACCAGTTCCCTGCATCGAATTAATTCCCTCTGTTTGTGTATATACTTGAAGTGGTTTCTGCTCTTTGGTTAGACACTAGCAAAACACTATGCCAGTCAACGTTACGGTTCACGTCACTCTAGCATTATTTCCCTTTTCTCTTTCATTACCCCCAATCCTAGTTCGTGAAGGCTTAACATTTTTATTTGGGAGAGATTGAGAGATCTGTTGTCCTTTCATGACAGAGTTTAAAAGTGAATAGACCAAAAGGAATTTTCACTTCCAACTGGAATGCTTCGCCCTCTGAGGAGGAAATGTTATTTCATGTACAAGCAATTAATGACCACTTGTGCTATTGGAATTACTGTTAATTCTCATTATATGTTTGAAAGTCATCATTACATATTCTGAGAAAAAAGAACAGAAGGCATTTACTTTTTTTAAGTAGTTTCTTTTTGGACCAAACACAAACATTAATATGATAAGAACCTGTAATTGCCATAGCGATCCCCTGTCTGATAACACTCATTGAGGTAACAAAAACACCAGAGATTGTTTTATATTTCAGAATCCAAGTACTGCAGCTATTGATCTGAAATTCTATATTTGAGGTCAATGCAACTGGGTCACCGCAGGTTATTTCGTGGGGATTTAACCCACTGACTGCAAGGACTTAATTCCCTGGAAATGACTTGTGCTGAAAGCAGTATTAGTACTGTAAATGTGAACTCAGGACAAAAACACAGCTATAGAGTTTTATGATCTGTGATGCAATCTTGGGGCTAAAGTCCTGCAGGGGGTCTGGACATTTCCAGTATATCTAAATCCTAGGAAATGTACTAAGCCTACCTCTATTCCTATTTTTTCATTCTGGTAACTCTACACATCTAAAGAATAGGGACTAGGAGAGTCTTTTTTTGATTTAATGTCTGCACTTTTCCCAAGTCCCTGGGACAGGGAAAGAGAAGAGAAAACCTTGTTGGCATTTTTTACAATTATCTCACTTAATCCTCAAAATAACAAAGCAGAAGATATTAGAGAAGTAGAAAGATCATGTGGAAAATAATTTCTGGTTCATAATGTTACTATGAGAATTAAGTAGGATAACATTTTCCTTACTCTATATTAGGTACTCAATAAATGATTTGAAAGAAAGAAATTCTTCAGAGGAGTAAAGCAAGTCATAAAATATCTCCCAAGCTCACATGGCTCAAAAGATTAGGTTTAACATTCAATTCCAGACTCTAAAACATGAATACTTGCCATCATCATATGTTGCCTTTGGGGGACTATTTAGAAGAAATCTCACTCGAAGGATAACTAACCAGTTATTGACAAATACGTGTGTGTTATGTCTTCCTATATAAGACCTATATGTGCTAGATAGGACCACAACCAATTTTTTTTCTTTCTTTTTTTAAAACAAGGTTAGAATTAAATTTAATGATCAGAAGTTTCGATAATGAAGTTTAAGGTTAGAAATAAGGTATAGCTTTCCAAAGATGGGCAATATTTCAATATTAACTACTCAACGTTAAAGTCACCCATGGTTTAATGTTGTCCTCTCCAAATGTATTTCGGACCCTTTACTCTATTATTTTTATGACCAATTGCTCACCTATTCCCGTTTGAAATCGATTTAGTTATACCCAATGTTATTTTCCTATTTCATATAAGTAACACCTTCAAGCTTACCTTGGATTAGTATTCTTTTCTGCAGTTTTTCACTTGTATCAAAT